ATTTGGTGTATTTTGTATTAAGAATAATGAGGGTAAGATTTTGAATTTTTTGACAACTATTCCAATAGATTTCGAAAATGGAAACCTTGTCATTCGTCAAGAGAAAATGGATAATTTGGAAACAACGGATTTCACTCTTCAAGGTAAAGTTGTTCCCACTCTTGTTAATAGATATTTCAGTGAAGCAGGTCATATTGACCAAGTTAATAATTCCGCCTCCAAACTAAATTCCCTTACCGAAAGTATCGTTGGAGAATTGGTTTATTGTATTGGTATTTTAGTATGATGATTCATAATGCATTCGTCGCCTTCAAATTGGCTAAAAAATCATCCATTACAAAGAATGATTTTGTGGATCAACTTTGTTTACAGTTGTCACCAATCAAACTTGCCTCAGCACACAAATTAATTACGGTTCGTGAACTGGGCTATTCTGGTAGAGTTGCTCATTGTGTTGTTTGTCATAAACTTGAGAAGGTGAGGAATAGTGCCTCTACTGGTTGTAGCGTATGTGGTCCAATGCATAGATATTGTTTCAAAGATAAACACGATTCCTTCTTGCTTTACAAATTGAGTGGAAGTTCCACTCAATTGGCGAAGAAGAGCAAAAGAAGAAAATAAATAAGTCAATTTCAATTAAGGTCATGGTTTTACTGTTATTTACGATTAGATGAATCTCCCACTCAGAGATTGCTCACATTCAAACTTTATTTCTACGATAATAGCGAAGTCACTTTTTTCGCTTGGAATTTTGTAGTGCTGTTTAAAGTCCTACAGATTTGTTTCTAAAGGAGAAGGTGATGGTATCTTGAGGACTATATTTTACAAATTTGAAAAAGTAGGTTGAACTGTTGTGTAATTGGAGGAATTTGGTGTTGCAAGTTAGAGAGCCATCCTCCTGAGATATTGAGGCGCTATCGTAAATCTTCTTAAGCTTATCTGATGAAGAGTAATTACAATAGTAGAGTTTTCCATGTCCTGTTATTCTTTCAATGATTATTTCTTCATAGACTGGAACTTGCCATGTGAGAGAGTCTAAGAGTTTCTTCTTCTTCAAGTCACCATAGAGAATGATACCCTCGTCCTTTATCACAACGTCTCTTCTAGTGTTTTCAACATCTTTCTTTAAATTATAAACTGATGAAAGATCATACCCAGGATAAAGTGAGCTAGAGTTTATCTGTGAGGCAGCAACTGAATACCTTCTACCTGCTGTGGCTTGTTTGTGATTGGCGTTGAAAAAACTGGTTATATCAGTAGAGAAAGGATCCTGCACTATTGACAGTCTTCTATTATTGGATGATGTAGATGGTTGCACTTGAGCATAAGCACCAGGAAGAGAGACTCTTCTCTGATCTGTGACTTGTGAGTCCAAATCATCCCTCGAGTCCATGCGTTGGAGTTGATATCTATCGAGGTGGTTGGTCTTTAATTGCTTCCATATGTTAAAATGTTCTTCTTCGGTTATTGATGGAGCTGGCATCTTGAGAGGAGGATTTGTGGATTGTGTTGAGTTGTTTTTTTGTGTAGTGTTGTGACTGTTGTACTTGCTAAGGTGTGCTTTTTAAGCAATTAAGGATGAAGAAGCACAGTAATTGATCAAGAATAGGCGTATTATTAAACGCGAAGTGACAGAATGCCATACCTTACTCTGAAAATATTTGCCTTATTCATCGTATTTGGACTGAATAAGGAGACTACAGGAAACAGGTGTTCGTTGCCTAGGCCCATTCAGAGTCAATACGAGCACATCATTCTACTTTATAGTCAATACGAATGGGATTCATTTTATTAAGCATTTACAAATATTATCAGTTATAAGTTGATCAATTGCTACTAACGTACTTTCAGTATAGGATAAACTTGATTATCTATTTTCTGTACGCATTCTGGGAGTATCTTGATCTGGATTCTTCTTCCATCAATAACTTCTTGATCAGATCACTAGGTTCATACCTTTGATAGATTGAGGATCTAGGATTATTTTGCTGGTGTTGAGGAGCAGTTGCAGTATGCATTGTTTGGAAGCCACTGCTATTAAGATTGGTGGATCCACCAACAACTGTTGTTGGAATATTAGAGGTGGACGAACCCACGATTGATTGCCCACTACTACTGTTCAGGGATGTATTGAGGAGGTTCATGTCTTGATAAGGGTTGGACGTTGGAAATTGGCAACTCACTCCAGAATTACTGCTGCTAGAGGAGGAGGTACTTTGTAAAAAACTACTACTGTTTGATACATCATCCATTTTCTTTAGATAGTTTTGGAGAATATTCCTCAATTCATTCTTTGAATACTTATGAAGTTGATTATTCAAATAATTGGTAATTTCACAACCATTGTTTGAATTTCCCATTAATGTATCATCGTCATCAAATAAGGTAGTTGAGGAGGTGGTGCAGGTAAGGAAATTATTCATGTCTGAACTCAAGTTTGTGGCCTTCTTGGCGCTCTTTTTTTGTTGCTGAGATAAGTTCCTGTGTTGAGTTGTAGGTGTTTTACCATTGTTTCTTCTGACTGAATTAGTTCTTTTTTGACTACCAACAGTAGTAGATTTAGTTGTATTGGAATGGTTTGAGGAGATTCTACTAGAGGAGGAGTTGGTGGTGTTGGAACTACTAATTGTGGACCTATTCATTGTATTATTTTGATGATGATGGTGGTGCATGGATGATCTATTGCTATTAATACTGTTTCCACCACTTATCATGCTACTGTTTAACATGCTTGATGATGCATTGTAACTGGTATTCAAACTGCTTGTAAGGCCGCTATTATTATTATTATTTGAATAAGCTTGTGCATTACGTAATTGTTTAGGGGTTGGTCGTTTAGGAGAGGCCAAGAATTTCTTCTCACCAGTTCTACACAATGATTCCTTTCTCAATGACTTACCAGGTGTGATGGATGTGGATTTTCCAGTCGAGTTACAAATATTCATACCATCATTGTTAGCTTGTTGGAAGGAGTTGTTTCTGCCTGGAGTTTTTGGTTGATTACTACTGTACATCATGATCATGGCATTGATATCAATATTTTCCTTATTGCTGAAGGAAGTATTTTGTTGTTGCTGCTGTTGTTGTTGGGAAAAGTAGGATTGATAACCATTGGTAGTCTTGTTTGGTGTCTTGGAATTGCTAGTTGTTCCTCCGGGAATGTATTGTTGTTGTTGTTGTTGGTGGTTGAGAGTAGAGAATATTGTGGAGTGATGATGGATCGGCTTGGAATGGTGTTTGTTGTTCTGGTACAAGGTTCTGGTACATTCGTTGTTGTTGCTGTTGGGCAACACCTGTGGTGAAATTATTGTGAAAAGAATTGTGATGCAGAACTTGTTGTTGGTTGAAAGAGTAGTGTTGTTGCATCTTTTTTTTGTGATTAAATTAAACTAAACGGTTAGCTTTTTGAAAAAAAAGCGGCAACGGTTTTTATTTCAATTCTCTAAGCCACAGTGAAACGATGTGAGGAGAGTAGAGTTGGGTTTTTGATGGTTTGTCTTGATTATTTTGATACAGTCTGGCATATTCCTTTCTGCAAACTTCGGAATTGTATAGGTTTACATCGACAATCATTGATTTTTCTTCACCAGCATGTTCGAATGTGAGAGTTGCC